CATCCTGATGCAATCAACCTGTGAATGTAACTGTGTTTCCTTTGAAAATTTAAAATGTCTGTCAGTGTCTCTGAGAGTTCACTCTGCTTCCTTGGAACATGCCAGTGCTCAGTCTGGGAGTCTTAGTTCTGGGCTGTACAACCTGCTCCTGGCTAAGTTGGCTCAGTCTGTGTGTCTTAAGAAAAAAAAGTTTATTACTCCTTTTGTAAAGTGCAGATAGATTGAATGAATGTCTCATTGGTTAATTCTCATGTACTAGAGGAGATACTATTCAAATTGAGTAGTTATCTTTTTAGAAATTGATAGCCTTTGTGAAAAATTAGATTAAAATTGACAAGTAGTCCTTTAGTTGTTGCAAGTGATTTTGAAAAGTTATTTACAAAAATAAAATTATGAATATTTGAAAACTATCCTTATATATTTTTCTTGAGAAGCATGTTACCAATTCAATTATTATATGATTATTATTATAAGTATTCTTAAAATATAATTAATTCAAGCTTTTTATATTTACATGTGTCATGGTTATTAGAAAGTGAATGAGATTGAATTCTGACTTTCCTCTAACCTAGTCCATACTAAGCTGAGCTTAGGTAACCCTTTCTCTTGCAGGTGATTATTTCAGGAGTAGTTTGTAACCCTGTGGTTAATTAGATATAACAGAAACAGTTACTGGGGCTTCTGGAAAAGGTTTCACAGATAAAAAGAGTCACAGAAAGAGATGCCGCTTCTTTTACTGGACCATGTTGTATTTTCACGGAATGTGCAGAACCTTGGAAGCTCACTTTGTAACCATGAGTAGAGGTAGCCAGGGACAAAGACAACAAACTCAGCACAGCAAAGCAGGAGAAGACTTCAGTCCTTAAGGAAGATGTTGAATTAAACAGTCCCTGGACAAGTCTACCTGTCACTTCATGTTATGAAAGCGTAACTTTTCCTTGTATATATTAACCACCCTTAATAGATACATAGTTTGTCTTATTCCTTAATTGTAGGTGCTATTCAAACTTCAGTGAAAGACTCAAGATACTCGTGAATGTAGGCAATCAAATGTGTTTGAAAACAATCTCCCACGTGATTCTGCTATCTTCCCATCTTCTTTCTAATCCTTTCACTCCCTCTGCCCCCACTCCATTAATTTCTGGAGCAAGAAATGAAATTCAAAGGACTTGGTGAATGACTGGTTATGTATCTGGGTCCGGGGAAGGAGGGATATAGATGACAACCAAGTTTGTGGTTTGGGTAACTGGGTGGAAGCTTTTGCTATTTTAGATGATAAGAACTACGACCAGAAGAATTAGCTTTCAGTTTTATACATTCTGAATTTGAGGTGTCTGGGAACATCCAGGAAGCAGTACTAAAAAATAGTTAGATATATAATCCTGGAGTTGACAGAAATGTCTGAACTACAAGACTAAGAGATTTAGTAGTTGTAATTAAAATCATGGGTGTAAGTGAGATTGCCTACACAGGTCTACCTCAAAAAGGGAAGAGAGGGAAATACAGAACTTCAGAGAGCACCTGTATTTCAGTGTAGGGTAGGGCAAGTCGTTGGGAAGGAATAAAACAATATCAACAGTGACATATCTTATTTCACCTTAGATTTTTCTCAGAGAAATGCTAAGGTCTTTGTAGTATTAAACTTTGATTAGGATATAAACTTTACATATTTTAGCATTGTTTTAAAAGTTGATTCTCTCTGAAATGCTTATTTTCTCTTTTACTTGATGAATTTATAGATGTTTAATGGTAATTTAGTGGGAGGAAGAGTTAGTTAATGTAGCACTGTAACACTGTCTTACAAAGTCAGTTTCATTCTACTGTTTGTTAATATAGACATCTGATAGGAGACCAGAAAAAGTCCGGTGTATACATTTCTGCCTTCTCCCACCTCTAGGAATGGGACCAATGTATAAATTTTCATCAGTCCTTGTTTCCAGTCATTAATATGATAGTAGATGTATTGTTTTAGGGCATATACATATGTATTATTGCCCCTGTACTTTGCTATTCATAATTTTGTACTCTATTGCATTGTTTTTGTTATTCCTGTTATTTGACTGTGTTAGCCAATATATTCTTTGTGTATAAAATGAAATAAATTAGAGAGTTGCAGGATTCTGAAACCCAAATAATTTTTTCTCATCTACAGAAATACCTTTAAGAGCCAAAGCTTTTGGAAAAAGGGAAGATTGTTAACTTCTGGAGGGTATTATTTAAACCTTTCACATAATCTATGGATGCTATCCTAGAATTTTTTGTGTGTGTGTTTATGTACATGTCTTGTCAAAAACACCACGTATTGGAAATGTCAGCGTTTACAAATGCTATTCCAATGTAAGGGTAGGAGTATAGTTTTCAATTAAGACTCTTGCTATAAGGATCCAAAAAAGCTATTTCCATGCATTTTATTCCTTCCTCCGACTCCCTCTCTCTCTTTTCTTTTTAAACTTCAGTTTGAATAGCACCTGTAATTAAGGAAGAAAACCGAGCCCTGGCAGCTAGGTAGGACTGACTTCTAGCTATTGATCTGTGTAAACCCAGCTTATGCTGTCAGGGGAGAAACAGTCAACTGCCTAGCTGCTTTGTCACTGACATAAGCTGAGAGAGGATTTTTTTTTTTTTTTTGCCTATACTGTTTATACACTAGTCTATAGACCTGCTGGCTGGTTGAATTTTAAAGAGTGCGGAGGTTTAAAGACTTGTCCCCTGAGGGATGCTTCTGCCAGTTGGGAAGCGAGCTGAGGCTGTTGTGCAGAAGTGTGTGCATGTGTGTTGCTTGTGGAAGAGGGAAGGTGTGTGAAAGATTGAGCAACAAAGTGGGGCGCATTCTTCTTAATTTGAGACTAAAAATTGATGTGAAATTTGTAACTAATTTGGATGTATTTAGAGACAGACATTGAATTTTGAATATATATTTTTTATTGTTAACATAAATTATGTGGACAGTTTGCTGGAGGATATCTGAATAGTGTACATACGTGTAATAAATATGGCAAATGGCTCTATTTTAGGTAGTGCAAGATAAGGATTAAGCAATGGTCAAATGAAAATGAAATGTTCTCATTTCTAACTAATGTTTTTCAGTTTACATAAATTAACTTACTTCAAGTTTAGAGACTCTTAATTACAGTAAACAAAATATTGTCATTACTAAAATAGTTAGCTTTCTTTAACTGTGGAGTCTGTGGTCACACTTTTAAAGCTGGATATTTGTAAGAAAATCAGGCTACATCTTAAGAGCAAAAATTGTTTTCTTTATGATGCTTCTCTTTGTTTATGTAAGTTAAGACTCTTGAAGCTTTCTTAGGTGTTGGATTTTTATAATGTTTTATTTTTAAGTAACACTTACTGTAGTCTACATTTTAAAAGACCGCAAGAAATTCTACTTTAACGCTCTCTATATTGTATTTATGTATAGGGGTTACTTATCCAGATATTGATATTTCTCTGGATCTGAGTTTTAGTGGGAAAGAGATGGTAGGTAAGGGAATTTTTTTTTAGGAGGGGATAACGACTGCATTAAAATACTTGCTCTTTTTTCTCTTTAATAGGAATCATCCTTATGAATCTCTGCTTTGTCTTATAAAATCACCTGTCATAGACCTTGTATGATGTTGTCTTCAAGTTTAATTTTTAAATTAGTGTTAATTATAAGTCATTTTTTAAACATATAAAAATTTTTTTTCTATTTTTTGGTCAAATAGCTGACAATATTTGCACTTACCATTTTTGTGATTGATAAGCTATATGATTGCTAAAAGATTTAAAAATCATTTTATAATGACTATAAAATCACTGAAGGCTTGAAAATCAGGTTATTTTCTCTGTTTGAGTAAAACATAGCTTTTTTTATCAGACAATTCTTAAATAAACATGCACAGAATAGAAGATATGTTTTAATTTGAAGCTTTGTTTTCAGATGTGCATTTCTTTGAGTGTTACTTAAGATAAAACTCAGTACCAAGAGTTGAAGCATATTAATTTTTAATCTATAAAGTCTTTTTTTTTTTTTAAACATTTGACTGTGGGACATGTAGAGTTGTTATACCTCTCATAATTTATTCTGCTGCCAACTTCATTCCCCTTTCTCTGCCTGCATTTTAATTGAAACAACATTTATATTTTTGAGCCAGGATCTGTCAGAAGTCCCTATGGCTAGTCTGTGATACAAGTCGTAGCAGACGTAGCTTACCCATATGGTGCGGTGCTTCTTGTAAAATCCATATGGCCTTGTTGAAGGGAATCCCAGCGGGGATGTGAAGGGTGTTAATACCCTTCAGGCCAGGCCTTTCCCTCCTGGGGCTTCCATTGCATTGTCAGTGCAATCTGCCAAAGCACAAACTTAATTCCCTTTTAATAATCAATTATTTTAGTCTAAGAACCTGTGCTATTTTTCTTAAGGAAAAAAAAAACTGACTTTTTTTTCCCTAAAAAATGTCTCCAAAAAGTTTTAAATGCATCTTTAAAAAAATATTCTAAAGATTCTTTTTTTTTTTTAAATTTGTATTTGTAGGAGGTACTACAGAGCGTGCCAAAGTTCTGTTTCCCTTTTGACGTTGAAAGGTACAGTATAATCATCATTTAAAATAACTTTAGCTTATCTCAGTGCACCCTTTAAAATAATTACATGTTCCTTTATATAAAATGAAATGTGCCTTCTTTTCACTGCTTCTAACAAAAAAGGCAAGGGATTCAAAATTAACGGATGTTTGGAATAAAGAAGACTTTTAAGTCAGATCTTCTTTTCTTTGCTGTGACTAGTTATGGAGAAGTCTTAAAACAGTATTGCCAATAAGTTCTATTTTTTTTTCCTTATTTTCAGATATATATTGTGAACACCAGTGAAAGAAAATATCAATATGTTTTTGATCAGAGCCTTAGAATTGTGTCTTTTAAAATTGGTTGTATATATCCTGATTTCTATCTCACTTCATCCTAATTAAAAAGACCATCTGGGTGATGTTGTAAAACTCATAACTAGTTGTCTCCCAAGTTAGCTTTACAGAAACAGTGCAGTATTATAGAAGGCAAAAGGCAAACTCTTCAAGCAGTTTTGAAAATCTGATGAAGTTTACGTTTTACTGAAAAAGTAGCGAATGAACTACTTGCTTGCAATTGAGCTTTCATAGAATACCTGGCCCTTTGAGCATAATAACAAATATTTATTGTTTTTCATGTGATTTTCACATACTATTACCAGTTTTCTTAAGAATGTAATAAGTAGGAATTTTAAAAGAAAATTGATTTTAGGAAAATATTTTGTAAAGTAAAAATTAGCGAGACTTTAAAATTTTAAGATATTAAAGATACCATCTTCTGAACGATGGACTAATTGACGCTAATAAGTACTGCTGATGAACGGTACTTCCTTGTTTGATCTCATTTCTATGGAATCATTTGCCCACCACCACCCAAAAGAAAAATCATAATTTTTAAGTTAATAGTAAGGACAAAATAAAGAAGAAAAGGTATGAAATAATATGATGAACCTTGGCAGTAAGAGGGTGTATTAATAATTGGCGAGGTTTTATTTTTCGCTGCTTAGTTTCTGTTTTTTAAGTTTATGAAAGTTAAAAACTGTTCACTTAAAAGTATATTTGTTAAATATTTAACATTTGAAATTTGATATTTCCTACCAAAACAGTTTGTATTATTGACACTGGTAGTAATTTGTTTCCTTTTCCACAATTCCTATGATTAGTTCAAAAACAACCATAGGAATTGATTGGTCCCCAACCTAGTTAGTTTAGGGATCATGGATATTTTGTTTTGGGGCAAAGAATCAGAATTCAGTTATAGTTAAATAATGACAAAATTATAGCAGGATCAGGAAATATATTAATATATTTTTAAATAGAAATAAATTTTCAATCTAATGTTTTTTATTGCCCCTTATAGTGCAATACAACACATATTACGATAGTATGATACATAGTTCAAAATTAACTACAGTTCTTTACAGCTTAGCCACTAAGCACTTTTGATAGAAATTATATTTTTATCTTGTACTTAGACATTTCTTTCTCAATATATTGATAGCTCTAAAAGAAAATGCTAAGAAAAAATACCAAGACTATTTTGTATGATATTTTATTGGGTGAGAATGTCAATACCAGAAGGAATTAAATGGAGTTGGTGGTAGCTGCTGTTAGATTCTAAAACATCTTGATTTGCTATCTGAGCAATTTTAGAATAATTGAGAAAATACGGGATAGTTGAGGGAAAAGGACTTAGTCATCATGTGTAAGTTCTTTCTTCTACAGCTTTTGCAGTAGTATTTTGATAATTTAGGAAAGATTTTAGTCTTATGAAAGTTTATGGTAAACTATTTTTGATTTTCTAGTGAGGGATTAGCAAATGCTGATTAGTTCTGTCTATATGGTATTATAACTTATTTTGGCTTTTGACTCACAACTTAGATTACATATATTACATGCTCATTTTAGTTTTGGAAGTAGTGCTAGCTTCAAGAACCAATTATTTGGAAAGATGAAATTAATGCTACATATACATACAATATTGCTTTTGTTTCTCTTCAAGAAAACTGTCATATAAAACTTAATGTTCATAATGTTTCTATATTTTAGGGTATCTCAAAATCAAGTTGGACAGCACTTTACCTTTGTACTGACAGACATTGAAAGTAAGCAGAGATTTGGATTCTGCAGACTCACATCAGGAGGCAAAATTTGTTTATGCATCCTTAGGTGGGTATTTGCAGTTAAAAAGATGAGATGCAAAACAGAGTTATTGTATATTCCTTTGGTATAGGAAAAGCCCTATATTCTTATAATTTGGGTTTTTTTCTCTAAATCAAAGTATGTTGAAAATAATTTTCCTTAGTTTCTGTATATAGAATTAGTTAAGTTTAAAGATTTATTAGAAAAATAGTGAAAAATTTCTAGAAAGAACTGACTTTTCTAAAGATCACTTTCTGTGGATTTAATTTTCAAAATTATTAAGATATGCGTTCAAATAATATATGAGTTTAACATATTTCATAGGATGCAAAAAAGTCAGCTAAAATTAATGTGAGCCCCCTTTTCTATCACTGAACCAGTTTTGAAAGTGAATTGCTGCTTAAATGTAAACCAGTGATCCTGGATAGAAGTGTTTAGAGGTTTTTGATTGGTTCCTGAGTGTTTTAAATATTTTAGAAGATGTTAACCTTACAAAATTTAGGAAGTTTTGCATAAAATTTGTATTTCTAATTCCTTTTGACAAATGGGAGTATCTAATTCTGGTCCAGCATTGCCCCTTGGCGACAGCAAGCTGGAACTAAATGGCAGGTTTTTGTTGTGTCATAAGCTTGCTGGTTTCCACAGTCCCTACCTGTCCTGCTTCAGTCACCCACATTATCTTGCCTTGATTCAGTAGGTAGTTGAGAGTGTGTCTCCTGCCTGTAGTCCTAAGATCTGAATTGCTCACTGTTGAGAAGGAAGGTTAGGGTTCCTGTAACATGTCCTGATGAATCAGAAACCCAGATATAATCTATAGAGAAATAAGACTCTATACTCTTATAGTACAAATACTGGACAAGCTAGATTCTATAGAAACGCTTATTGGAAAATAATAGCATTTAATTTATGAATGAACATAATTGCAAAGAAAACTTAGGTATAAAATTGATGTCTCTGTTCATGTGCTGTTTAGCTATATTTATATCTTTCATTGAGATATAGGTTATTAATTTACTTAGAACCTTTGTTAGGGCTGAGAACTGTTTTTACTTAAAAGCAAATGCTTAATTGCTTTGTATGTAATAGAATGTGAATGTGTCCCATTCTCTGTTTAGGTATAACTTCTTCATTTGGGTAACAATTGATAATAAACCAAGGCTTATCCAAAAGAATTTTATGCTTCAAATTATAGGTTGGGCAGTGGGGTATATGGTTGAGAGACTGGAAACTGGGTGAAGAGAGCTCCTTTTTTTTTTTTTTTTTTTTTCAGTTTTTGGCTTGGGCTGGGTTTGAACCCACCACCTGCTTCTTTCAGCCACAGGCGCTGCCCAAAGAGAGTTCCTTTTTATCATTAGTTCAGAAGCTACAGTTCAAAGGGGAGCATGACTTCATGTACTCTACTCAAAATGTGTTTGCCTTAATAGAAAGACTCAAGACATACATGCTTTCTTATTTTTCTCTGTGAAAACTTTTCACTATAAAACTCAAAGTTATAGAAAAGTTTTAATAATGCATCACCTAGATTCATTAGTCATCGTGTCTTATCTCTCTTCTCTCCTTTCTCCCTCAGTGTACACGTACAAATTCATTCTCTCTTCCTCTGTCATAGTTGTTTCACTGACCCATTTTAGATCATTATAGGCATTATTTTTCTATATACCTGAATCTGTATTTTATAGCTTACCTCACTGCCTCCAAATTGACTTTCTGATATTAAAGAGTATGAACATTTTTCTGTTTTGACTATTAAAATATTTTAAAAACATTGACCCTGACAATAAATAGTGCATGTTCAGAATAGTTTCTATAAATGTGCTTATAGAATTAACATTCCTAGGAATTTCTGCTTGAATTTAGCACATCCAGCATTACTTCAAAATATTTACACAAGGCTCGGCACTCGTGGCTCAGGTGGCTAAGGCACCAGCCGCATACACCTAAGGTGGCGTGTTTGAATCCAGCCCAAGCGTGCCAAACAACGATGGCTGCAACCAAAAAGTAGCCAGGCATTATGGCAGGCGCCTGTGGTCTCAGCTACTTGGGAGGCTGAGGCAGGAGACTTGCTTGAGCCCAGGAGTTGGAGGTTGCTGTGAGCTGTGATGCCATGGTACTCTACCCAGGGGGATAGCTTGAGACTCTGTTTCAAAAAAAAAAAAAAATATATATATATATATTTACACAAGATATGAACTATAGCTATGAGTTCTGCATACCACTTCTCATTAATTTATAAGAAACAGATTTTAAAGCAATTAAATCAAGTTATTTTTATCTATAGGTCTCAAAAATGTATATTGGAGGGACACTGGAATGTTACAGTTTTGCCCTGCAGAAAATAAATAAATATAACAAATAAATAAATAAAATGTAACAAAATCCAAAACCAAAATCATGTGTGCCAGAGAGGAGAATCTTTTACAATAAGTGTTATTGGATATTTTACTTTTTTATTAAAATAATTATTTTTTTAATATTTATTTTTGTCACTTGCTGGTTTATTCTTGTAGATAAGAAATAGGTGATGTCAAGTTTATGGAAAAATTATGGAGAAAAATCTTAAATTGATAAAATTCTGTCTTCCAGCTTATTTTTTCTACTAAATTAGTAAAATATTGCTACTTCAAGATTTTAATGGTATATCTCAATCTTTGTACTGAAAAATGTTAAAGTAAGGGGTTCTTTGAGAACAGCAGAATCAGAGAATAAGTTAATAAACTAGATAACTAGTTTTAATATTAAACAAAGAATTCAAAACAATGGAATTAACTATCTTATTCAGAAAGTTGTTATGGATAGGCAAATATCTGTTTCTATGCTATAATCATTGTATCTCTTGGAAAATAATTCTGACAAATCTTTATAAGTGCCATAATGAGTAGAATAATGGAGTTTTAGTCCTGATTTGTCCACCTGATTTGGTGGTCCTTCTCTATTTTACATTAACTTTATAATTGTTTAAACGGAAACCTAAATCTCTAAATTTACTAGAAGAAAAAAAAATCACTATCACAGCAAGAACCTTTGTATACCTAATATAGGATGCTGAAACCTAAGAGGTTGGTATATTTAAGCACATAATAATAAAGACATTTGATGACAAATATAATAAGGATATTTACAATACAAATAATAAATGAGTAGAAATATATTTATGACCACTAAAAGGGGTTAATGGCCTCAATATGTAATGAGTACCTACAAGTCAATAAGAAAGAGAACTTGGTAGAAAAATAAGTATCTGGTAACTTACAGAGGAAATATAAACAACATATACATCCGTACATGATGTTCAGCCTAACTGAAGGTAAAAGAAATAAGCACATTAAGATTGATAGAATTGAAAATGCATATATTTATAATAAATGTGAGGGGAACACACTTCATGTGTTGTTTGTAGGACTATAAAATGACAATCTTTTGAAGAGAAATTTAATAATAACATTTTTTATATCTTTTTTTATTAGACAGAGTCTTGCTCTGTCACCTATGCTGGAATGCAGTAGTCCAATCATTGGCTCACTGCAGCCTCAAATTCCTGGGCTCAAATGATCCTTCTGCCTCAGCCTCCCAAGTACTTGGGACTACAAGTACCCACCACTCCTACTGGTTAATTTTTTAGAAATTCTTTCATGGAGATGTGGTTTTACTATGTTGTCCAGGCTGGTCTTTACTGAATAATTAAGTTTTAGGAATTTAAAGCCCAGAATTATTCCCAAGAATATGTGGAAAAATGTTTATAAAGTTATTTATTACAGCATGGTATATAGTAGCAAAAAAAAAAAAAAAGTTAATGAGCTAGATTTAGTCATTCTACAGTGTATATATACTTAAATACCTCATGTTATACACAATAAATATGTACAATTTTATCTTCCAATTTAAAAAAGATAACAAAAATAAATTAAAGAGAATTGGTGATAACATTGATTTTTCTCAATAGGACTTGGTTAGTATATTGTGGCGCATTCCCCAGTCTTTATTCCGTGACATAATCTCTTCCCCCTCCACCAGAATGTGACCTCCACAAGGGCAGGAATTTTTATGTTTCCTGATAAATTCCCATTGTCTGGAATAGTGCCTGACAGGTAACGATTCCCAAAAGAATTAATGGATAATTTTTGAATGCATAAATGAATGAATGAGTAATACGATGGAATGTTATTTAGCAATTAGGAAATAATTGCATATATTACAAAAATACATATATGCATGTACTTTGACTGGAGAAATGTTTATGATCTTTTCTAACATGTTTGTAAATAACAAGTTATAGATATATAAAATACATATTTTAAGTAATAGCTAATATGTAATGAATATACACATATATTAATATATGATTGTATTTACTTATAAAATGTCTAGAAGGATATATCATCAATTTCATTGAATATACACATATATTAATATATGATTGTATTTACTTATAAAATATCTAGAAGGATATATCATCAATTTCAGTCTTTTAAACTGTATTCACTTCAGCATTTATCCACTTTTTACACTGAGCAAAAATTATTTCAGTTAATTTTCCCTGCTCTAAAATTCTGAGATGTTTTTATTGTATAAGTAATGAACAATAAAGGTGGAACTGTAGCTATGATACCAAAAATTATTGAGTATTTAGCCAGATCACATTTGTCAGGTAAAATACATATATATTGTGTTTTGAGTATGGAGATTATTTTCCTAGTGTGTGTTAGTAGAGGTGCTCTGTGGGCAGTTAACCATGGTGGGTGGTACAATAGAATTAAGAATGGGAATGGGACAGTTTCATTTTGTGCAGGTTTGAAAGAATGACTTTTGGAGAGAAAAAAATATTGCTATTAGAATGAATTCTTAATCTCTGAGCCAGATATTGGTAATTTTCTGTAATTTCAACACACAATGTTCAGCATTGTGGAACTGCTTTGTAAGATGGTCGGAGAAATGTTATTACATCTAGAATTTATTTCCTATCTTTTCCTCCTAATGACACTCAATGTCACTGTTTTCTTAAGATGTGGTAGGAAAAAGTTTCTTTCAAT